AGTTGTATATATTAAGGAGAAGAAATATATATTAAAATAGATTGTTAATAAGTATATTAGCCGCAATATGATTTCGTATTCACACACTCACACGCACGCGCACACACGCACGTAATATTTTCTCCGAGAGAATTTACATGGAAAAAAATGCGCATAGCGATAATAAAAGGCGCGCGAATATATGTATACGTGCGTACTTACCTTGGTGTGAATCGGTCGGCAATAAGATGCGGGTCATCGCGACGCAACGGCGGTCATCGCATCTTCTCACGTCAGTCGCTCGTTCACTCACGCATGTCCTCGATGAGTCTGCGACGTCGTTGACGACGACTCGGACGAAAACGGTGAAGAATATGCCGCTGGCGCTAGATGCTCCGTAATACACCATAGCCGCGCGCGTTCGAACTGAAGTTGCCGCGGACCTCACGGTCACGTGATCAATACGCTACCGGCGCCGCCGCGCGGCGCGCGCACCAGCCAATCGAATCAGCAGCGGCCAGTGCCGCGCCCGCCATATTGCAGTACTTCCGCGGAACGAGGTGGCGGCGATTGAATTTAAATTATACGCAGTCGATGTCAAGCCGGAGACGCAAGGGGAGATGTAATGCTTACACGGCGCGTTTCTAAGCGACGGGCCAAGCTCGCGCATGACATTTGCGCGAGTGAGATGAATCGTTACGATCGTAAAAGTATACCTATATATTTACATACACACACCGCGCGACGATAAAAATTATTTCGTCGAGTATTAAATAGGAACTATACGATTCCAGAAGGACTTGTATATGGCTCGTTAGACAAAATTCTTTCTCGAATTACGGAAAATAAATGATTTCGTCTTAATGAATAAATGTTTGATTTCATTATATATATATATATATTTTGAAGAGCGCGCATCATTCTCTTGGCGATTATTCAGGGAACAATGGGATAGAAGGTAAACAAAGGAGAAGGAATATTTGTAGATTTCACATTACGAATTTCATACGCGACGCGACGTACGAAAATGTTCGTGAAATGTGTTTAGGCGAACGATATAAGTATTAGGTCATTATATAAATATACGCAATTGCACAACTTTCATAGCCGTTTATTTTTATGAGAAGAGGAGGGAATATTTAATTCACGCCACTGCAAAATCGGCGGCTGGCACGTATCGCCGAATACACTCCGTCGCGATGCGCTTTAGTGACTTTGCAAAGTGCAATATATGAGTCCGTCTCCGATCGAGTCCTTGAACGATCCACATTTTCTGGCGTTCTGCAAAGCTCCGACGCACTCGTGTCATTCAAAATGATAAAGCCTCACAACTCTCGCGGCGATTCAGACGTCGCGTGTGCTCCAATCGCTGACAGCCGGCGGCCAAGTATTTTTATCATGCGTTGTGCTTGCAATCGTCGGACGCTGGCGGGTATCATTCTATTCGCTATCTAGCGATCTAGTGACTTTTGACGCGACGTGGCACTGGCGAACAAACCGGCGACCAGCAGCAGACTGGCGACAGCGAGGACGACGAAAAGAAGCATCCACGAACGGTGTTGCGAATCGATGCCGAGTAGCTCGTGCAAACCCTCGTGGATGAGATGCAGCGTGCCGCGCAGGGCGGCGCCAAGCGACTCGCCGGCGACGCGGCTGTCGCCGCCGCAGCAATCATACGACATATATAACGCCGCGTCTAGCATGAAAATAAGTAGCGAGTACAAACGCGACACGACGCGGCACGCGCCGCGAGGTCGTGACTCGAGAAGACGACGAGTTCCGCGGCCGTTATGCGTGTCGTATGTATACGTTGATAATTAAACGCAAGCGTATATGTGTGCGTGAAAACACGACGCGACGGCGTGAACGCCAAGCGGGTTTTCCCTTTCAACTGACTGAAATCGAATGGGTATACGGAACTACGGTCTACGGATCGCATGCCCGCCACTCCGTCCGCGTCTGGGTGCGTCGCTCTGCGTCGCGACGCGGTGCGTCGCGCGTGCCGCGCGCGTCCGACCACGCGATCTCATGCTGCTGCACAATTAATGCATGTGGTTATTATTTATTCAGATGCCAAATCTATAGATATGTTGGTGAATAAGGATACCACATCTAGGGAAACCAACACAGAGTCTAGTTCAATAAGTTCGACATTTTTTAATTTTTGTTGAATGTTTAATATATCCGAGTAGGATATTAGAATTAATTTAACACAATATATGATTATGTTATTTGAATATTTTTTGTGTTATATAATAACACAATTTATGAATAAATGAATATAAAATAACATTAATGTTTGTTTTAACTGCACATTCTAAGATAAATGAATAAAATGTGTAATATACGCATAAAAATATGTTATAAACATTTATTTAAATGAAAAAATATAATCGTTTACAAATTATGTTAGTGTTAAGTGTTTTGTTTTTTACGTAGTATTTGTGTTATTTTCTAACATATTCACCTTAGGACAAATTATAATACAAAATTTAAGTGAATCGTTTGCGCGACATGTGAAATATATTAAATTTAACATGCCTACCTAATTTTCCATCACTGTGTAAATTAATATTATACTTAATTACGACATAAAAAATAAGATTTTGAAATTCGTTCATTTATCAATATCCTTTATACTAATGAAATATTTATCACTTTTTTCATTTTTACAAATTATTTGCTTCGTGCTTTTAATGCGAAAAAAACGTCGAGGCTTCTAATGTTAAACATTAAACTCTTTTTACTTTCGACACTGACAATATATTTATTGTAGCGGTGACATAGCACGTACTTCGTGCACTGGCTCACGTAAATTACGCAAATTTTGCGTGTATGAAATATTACGTTCAACGCCTGCATGGCAAGATTTTTAAGGCCGTGCGTGTAATACAATAAAATAAAACATGTTAGTAAGAAGGCTCGTTAAATAAAATAAATCTATATGACAGAAAATAATATAATATATTTCATATAAGGAAAAAAAGCTGTTTGCGTAATAAAGAAACCTGTGAAAAAACTCCATTATTTTTATTTTATTATGAATATTTTTGCGTTAATGTAAATTTCACACATTTAAAAGAAAAACGGCTTTAAAACCGACATATCGCGATCATCGGTTATGATAATTGATAGTAACAGGGAATGGGAAGTTACTTTTTAAAAGTAACAAGTGTTACAGTTATTCGTTACCGAGTAAAAAAAGTAACGAGTTACCGTTACTAGTTATCGCTTTTTAAAAGTAACTCGTTAAATAGTTACCGTTACTCGAAAGGTAACTTCTCGTTATTTTTTTGTTACTTTTTAAAAATCAATCTGAAAATGTACTTTTGCAGTGTTTTTGTTTAAATATTAAAAAAAAACAATATATATACATATATACAGCAATATATATATATATATAGCATATAACATTGACACTATGTATAGAAATTTTTTTATACTTTGCAGAAAACTAGAAGATTATATAGGATTGTATAGGACTATCTAAATCACAATATAAAAGTTAGAAATTAAAAAGAAAATTAAGAAATACACATAATCTCTTTATTATAATACAGCTATATTTTTATACTTAATCTATACTTTAGCTGTAAATCAAATATTTTGATAGAAAGAAAATTATAACGCTATAATTAAAATATATAACTGAAGTTTTGCAAAAAGGGGTGTTTTCCAATTGCTCAACATAAATATACACAGAAATGTAAAGTTTTTTACACAGTTCAATTAGAACAAAGTGTGTACTATGTTTAGATTAAATTAAACTAAATATAGCTTGTACGCCTGTATTAAATAAAAACACTTAATATTCTACAACCACATTTATAGTTGTCGTAATAAATAACATGTAAGTGTTATATAACAGAATAACGTATTCAATCGTATGCAAAGTAACGATAAAAGTTTGTAAATTTCGTTACCGTTATCCAAAAAATGTAACTACGTTACCATTACAGTTACCAAAAAAGTAACTTGTAACTGTAACTTTCTTACAAGTAACGAGTCACTTCCATTTCCTGGATAGTAAAAATAGATAACTGTTAAAGACACGTAAAATAAAGTAAAGACGAACAAAATTCGTCGGACTTATCTCTTATTGGTTAAACTAGAAACTTCATTACATGTACTTAACTATATGTACCATACCACTTACAAGAAACAGTGTGAATGGACTTTAATTACGATATAGCTATATCATCCTCTCGAGTCCTGAAAGTGCAGGAATCCCACTCTGCAACCGACTGTGACAGTAGTATTAATTGCAACTTTTTGTGTCAACATTTTTTGATCAGGTTTCGTTTTTTTGGAGAAGGCTCGAAAATATAACCTGTCCTAGTATACAACAAGGACAAAATAAACGACAAAACATTATTATTGAACTAATGATAAACGAAGTATTTGTAAAATATAAAAATTAAAGCAGCATGCAAAGAAAATTATGCCAAACCAGCACCATCAGAAGTTATATACAATTTATTGCATCACATAATACAAGTTCTATTCGTATTATTTAAAATTAATATCTCTCACATATTTGATGCCTGTTATACATCTAATTGATACATTATAAAAATTAAACTATTGATGTAATTATATAGAGTGTCTGGTTTTGACAAAGTACTCATATGTAGATAGGACTAACTAATCTAAATTAAAAAATCCACTATCATTTTGCAATTTTCACAATAGTCACAAGATATTAATTTCTAAAGATTGAATAAACAGATAAAATCAATATATAAAATAATTTTAAGATTTCTTTCAGAGTTCCTTATGATGTTTCTTAACACACTGTACACCAACCAATTTTTATAGGTGTACTGCAGGAACCAAAGCTTGAAACTATTCAATGTTTGAAAATTATTTCTTAAACAATTTGAGAACCTTGATTGATTATTTTAGTATCGTAAAGTTATTTTATATATAGATTTTAGACTCTATTTAATAAGTAACTAAAAAACAAGTTGCAAAAATTACAAAATGATAGAAGACTTTTCAACTCAATTTAGTCTACCCTGTCTATATATGTGCACTTTGTCAAAATTTACCAGACACCCTGTATTTTAATACATATTTTATAAGTCCTATAATTCCATATCTCTTAAAAATATTATTCAATCACTTTTTTTCATCATTTAAATTATACTTTGTCTTTAATTTATCTAGATCCTCCATCTTTTTGTCAACATCAATTCGTTTAAATGCTTTATTGCTCTGATAATATAGAACCACCAAATAACGATTGCATACATTGAAACCACTCAAGTGGTCACATGCATTCTTTGCATCAAATATATCTTCGTACACAACAAATGCTGTGCCTCTAGTCTCTGCTGTGTTACCTCTGAAACAAGAATCATATAATTTTAATTAGATTATCATAAAAAAAGATTTATTTCATTTTGACTGTATCAACTATAAAATTTTACAATAACACAATACTTACACTCTAATTTGTCTGATAGCTCCGTATTTACCAAATATATCATACATTTCTTCAGCGGTGATTTTGTATGGTAAATTCCTGATATACAATACTCTATTTACTTCGGGTGGCAGCCTTACCTAAAATAAAAATTTTATTTATCACAGAATAATACACAGAAAATTGAGTTAGAGTTAGTGCTATGATTATAATCTGACAATGTAACATAAGTTATCCTATACATTTACATTAGCGCGACGTTGCAACATTGCCATAGTCATCTTGGAAAATTAATTTGTCTACTGCACTTCTCGTAAAGTAACAAGATTATGTTTCTTGATAATCAAACGTCTTACTGATGTTACTGACAGTCAACACCACGGACTAATAAAATAAGGAGATCAAGCTCAAGCTGCTCAAGCGGTCGGCCATAAAAAAGATAGGCTCGAAACGAAACACGGTGTCGGAAAAGCGCTGTATAGAAGAACTGATCCGAGCGCGCTTGTCGGAAAACACATAGAAACACATCGAAATGTAGGTTAGTAAAATGTAGGTTGGAGAGAGATAAATATATGTCACATGCACGGAGTAATAAGAAGGAGATCAAGTTCGAGGATAAATATGGGCTCGAAACACGGTTTCGGAAAACCCCATGGAAAATCGAGAAGATTAGAGTACTTATAATGAGAGTATGGCCATAAGAGCGGAAGTCGCCATTACTGGGACTACGCCGGAAAGAACGGAAAATCACGCGCAGCGTTTGAACATAGCGAAGTGCACATCTTCACTCCATTTGACGGTCTTGCACCAGAAGCAGGAAGTAAGATATAAGGAGACTCCACTCCGTAAAATAAAAGTGGACCCATTTTAGGTTTCGAGTTCAGCTTCCGATTCTGATGAGTGCGAGTAAGAGAAATGATCATTTCTCTTACTCGCACTCATTATGCGCAGCACTACTAAATTCACGAGCGCTGCGAGTGTCGAGAATCGGAAACGGAACTCGAAACCTAAAATGGGTTCATGTCTTGTAGACTGGCGAGACCGAGTGGAGTCTCCTTATATCTTCCTTCATGACCACAAGAAATGTAACGCCCCATGGTTGTCTGAAACTCGAGTTATGATAAAACGCATGGTGTAATTAGAAAGGTGAAGCAATTATAAGATGCGCAGTGGCAAGCCAATCAGATGTGTGCCTAAATTCAAAATTATTGTAGTAGGGGCAATGGCTGGAGGGGCTTTGCGCGTAGTAAGATCACTATATACTGTGGTAAGATGGTGAGATGGTGTAGTGTAGCCATATATGTAATACTACTATATGGCTAGTACCTATAAGAGGGAGTGAGAGGAAGCGGTCCCAGAACCACGGTGCGGGAATATATATTTCCCTCTCTTTCTAAGAGTACTTTGAGTGTTGTGCGCATGCGTTGGATTGATTGCATCCGCCAATAGGAAAATAGA